GGGTTTCAGCGAGTTTGATTAAACCCTAAAACCCTAAAGCCCTAAAACCCTAAAACCCTAAACCTCAAAACCCCTAAAACCCTAAAGCCCTAAAACCCTAAAGCCCTAAACCCTAAAACCCTAAAACCCCACTCCCTTGAAGATCAGGTCCGCCCCGTGGATTGCGGCGAAGTCCCCAAACGTAGGAACTGGGCCGGAGCCGAGGCCATCGGCTCTTGCAGGCTTTGCAGGCTTTTTTAGGGACTTTTAGGCTTCAGGCTTTTTTAGGGGACATTAGGCTTTAGGCTTTTTTAGCGGACATTAGGCTTTAGGCTTTTTTGGGACATTAGGCTTTAGGCTTTTTTAGGCTTCAGGCTTTTTTAGGGACTTTAGGCTTCAGGCTTTTTTTGGGGGACTTTAAGCTTCAGGCTTTTTTTGGGGACTGTAGGCTTTAGGCTTTTTTTTAGGGGACTTTAGGCTTCAGGCTTTTTCAGGGACTTTAGGCTTAAAAAATCCGGGCGCTCACGGCACGCGACGGGCGTTTTCCTCGAGTTTTCAGGACTTCGTCTTCTGAAGCACATGGCCAGGCTCGAAAACGGGGATTTAGGAAAGCAAAGGCTAGTGTCGAAACATCCACTAAAACTGGGGTTTTGTGCATACACGATCATATTTTGGCTAATTATCTGGAATGTAGTATGAGAAGATGCGCTAGGAAATCTGAGCCAGAGCCTTAATGAAGTCTTGCGACAGGGCAGTTGATACCTCCAGACGAATGCAAAGAGGTATCTAAACAAATCAGGATGCACTTCCTCGGCATTGAAAGAGACCGGCATGGGTATGTCCACCACTCCCCCGAAAGACGGAACATCCATGCGCTCATCGTTGGACTGCTTGGTCTGAGGCTCCTCGTCCGAAGAAACAGAAACCACTTTAGTTTCTCGTCTTCCGCTGGCAGCAAACGAATGCGAGCAGAGTTTGTTGGGCCCTTGCAATGTCGAGGCAAGGGATCCAACTCCGCCAAACCGAGACTCGCCCGCGACTGCGCAGCTGCCTCACACGTGTGAGCATCCATGCCAAAGCGAGCAGCCGCAGGCTGTTTCAGTCCACGGCAGCCAGACGCTAACCGGCGCCATCGAGCGCATTCCATACCGGCAGTTGTCATGACCATTGCATTGTGCATAGTGAGACTCAGAACTATCAGTTAAAGTGTTGTGCCAACGCAGCATGAATATTGTATCGCATGAATATCACGGTTATATCATGATTGTCAGTATCACTGTAAATATCACAGTTATATCATGATTGTGAATATCACTATTAATATCAGTGTTATTATCATGATTGTAAGTTTCATTAGGAATTTCACAGGTAGCATTGTCATTTTCGACCCCAAGCCCAGTATCATGTGATGACCATGTGAATCACCATCATCATCATCTTCATCACCTAGAGCAGCACGGCGACGAGATGCACCTGGAGAAGCAGGAAACTACCAGGTTTTTTAGGTGCCTGTTTCCTTATAGGAGCCGTATAGACGGTGTATATACCGTTATAGAAGCCTTATAGAAGCCTATCGTTGCCTTTGAAGCTAGTGGCGATCGCTATCTTTCAGCTCCAGGAAGCTTCAGTACTTGATGTTTAGCAAGATGCACTCAACCCTAAACCTTAAACCCTAAACCGCGTCAACACTGCAGCGAGCTTGCGTCTGAGTGCAAGCGTCTACGAATTTTGGGGCTTTGTGGTTCAGTCGAAGGTTCGGCTTCAGGGTTTAGGGTTCAGGGCGCGGTCTGTGCAGAGTTCGTACTTTAAATGGCCCAAGGGACTTAGTAAGCTTGAAGTAAGGTCATAAGTCGGATGACCCCACTTATATAGGGCCAATTATAACCCCACTAACTAAGTCCCCTGAGCCCCGAAGTATTGCCCCTAAGCCCTAAAATCTAAACCCTTGAAGGTATCTCGAGATGGTGAACGCGCACCCCCGCGACGACTGTGCCTCGTCCCGCATGACTTCCGGGACGGAGCGGGCTTTGCCTTGTTCGGCGGATTTCCGAAGAGGAGAGGGTTTTGGGCTTCAGGGTTTAGGGTTTATATAGGGTTTAGGGTTTAGGGTTTCGGGTTTTTTTATGTTTTAGGGTTTTGGGGGAGCTGGGTTTCTATGGGCTGTTTGTTTTTGGATGTGCGAGCTTTGCGTGGAAGTTTGCACTCGCAACATGGCTTTCGGCATCTCCTCTGGGCCCAGAGGCCCCTGCCTTCTCTCATCCCTGCACGATGGTAGGTCTTCAAGTGGGGTCCCCGGCTCTAAGCAAATCCCGAACCCCAAACCCAACGCCCTGAGTCCGAAATCCCTCAGGCCCTATTCTAAGGCACCAATATCCTCACCCGTACGTCCTAAACCCTGAACGGTTGCCCGGCAAAGGTGAGTGCGTCGGACACTTCATGTGGCTCAGAACCGGCCGCAAAATTCCCAACACATGCGCTCGAAACGACCTCGATATAGACCTTAGAGTTTAGGGCTGGGATCTAGGGGTTTGGCTTCAAGCTGAGGTTTAGCTTTAGGATTTTCAGGCGGCACCACGCAACCCTCATTCGCAGACACTGTGCTCCCATCACCACTGGGTTTAGGGTTTCGGGTTTAGGTATAGACATCAAAAACCTTGACAACAGATCAGGAAAGAATCGCTTGCACTCTTTGCCTTTTCAGGTGCACTTGGTGTTCTGTTGGGGCTTGTAGCGGTTTGTGCGGAGACGAATAGTATTCGGAGCGTCAGTAGCACTTGATCAGGCCCTGACGAAACCAGAACCCAAGCTTTACATAGACTCCAACAGACCCAAACTTGCAAGCCTCCCTCCCACCCCCCAAACCCCTAAAATCACACACGGCCCAGGGCTCGTCTTCGATTCGGCCTCCCACACTTACTTCCTGGAGGGGTGACCTTGACTGACAAAAGTGTTGCTTCAAGTTGCTCCTAGGCTTAGATTCACGCGATGTTGAGATGTCGCATGTGTTCAGCCTTTTTGAGAGATCGTAGGGGAGAGGGAGAACATTGGATTTAGGGCTGCATTTTTGGGCTTCAGGCATTGGGGGTAGACTTATCGGTCAAGGCTGTGCGCCCTCGATTTTCGTGGGCTCAGGTGAGGGGAGGCTTGTCGCCGTTGAGACTATTTCCATGATTAATGCCGTCGTTGCTCTGACGGTGCCGCTGTTGCAAGCTTTACGGCACTCCTCCTTGATTTGGCTCGTGTATGTTTATGCTTACTGTTACCAGCACCCAGCTTATGTAATCACTAATACTGTATTTTGGGGCTCCTTACATGTTATAACTCTAGTGAAAATCTACATCCAGACCCTATTTCTATTCAGGCCCTAAGCCCTAAACCATAAACCCTAAACCCTAAACCCTAAACCCTAAACCGTAAACCCTAAGCCCTAAGCCCCTCTACTATGTTTACCGTGTCAACCATCAGGGCTTCAGGGTTCCACGGCTTGCGGCTTCGGGGACACCTGAGTTTAGGGTGTGGAGTTTAGGTTTTAGGGTTTAGGGTTTAGAGTTCAGGGTTTAGGGCTGCAAGGGTTTAGGGTTTGGGGTTTAGAGTTTACATTTTGCATCGGAGTCTTTCGGATTCTTGTGATTCGGGCAGGAGAACAGTCTTGTGCGTATTGCGGAGGCTACGAACTCCGAATCGTGGGGACAAGTTTCGGGCGGATGTCCCGTGAAGCACCAGCCCACAGACCCTGAACTTCCCAACCCCACAGTAGGATCTTGATTTCAAGAACCATCCAAAAGCAGACCTTGTTCTTGAAGAAGCACTACTGCTCCACAATTTCGAGTCCCCAGCAACAGCATACTATAGTAGACCCGAAAGCCAAATTCAAATCAAGACCCTTTATGTGGCTAGTTCTCTAAATTGGGGTCCCTTCTTAGGTCCCCCAAAATAGTTGCTTCCCTAAACCCTAAGCCCTAAACCCTAAGCCCATCAGAGCCCAGGCGAGCGCTTAGCGGATCTGTCTGGGGACCAAGTCCAAGATCAGCTGAAAGGATCCGGATGGCTCAGGGTGGTTTAGGCTTTCAGGTCGCTTTTTTTTTGGGAGGGGTTTACCGGGGTTTGGGGTGGTCTTGCGTGGTTTTAGGGTGGTTAAGGATTTAGAGTGTCAAAGTGGTTTAGGGTTCAGGGTTTCAGGGTGGGACACGGCTTTAGGTCGATCCGGTGCGGCTTAGGGTTTAGAACCCTAAACCGTAAACTCTAAACCCTAAACCCTAGAGTTTGGGGTGGTTGGGGCTTAGATTTCAGGGTTCTTTCTGGGGTTCAGGGTTCGGGGCGCTGCAGGGTTTAGGGTTTAGGGTTGGTTTCGGCCTTTTTGGGTTTTGGGTTAACGTAGGCTCGGATGCTTAAAGTCGCAAGCTCCGCATTTTGTCTTGTTTGGGGTTCAGAGTTTAGTGTTTAAGGCTTAGGGGGCGTAGGGGTTTAGGGTTTAGGCTTTTAATCTACGAATCTAGGGTTCAGGTGTTTCGAGTCGATTCAGACACGCCTTTCAATCAGAAGGTTAGCAACATAATAAAAGTATCCCTGCTCTGAAACTCGATTTCAACAATTGCAAGGGAGCGCAGGGAGTTATTGCGGGCTGCCAAGATGCGTTTCTTCCGCTCTGTGAAGAGTATCGTGGCCCTGAGTATTAATATTGGTTCCGCGCGGTTTGAGGCCGAGCGCGGCATTGTCGATTGCAGTTAATTAATAATATATACTAGTTACTTCGATGTTGTTCTGAGGCCAGAAATGCCCTCCGGAGGTTGTGGAGTCTGTCCGTGCCGCAGACGGAGACCGAGTGGCCACGAGTGGGTGAACTGCTCTGAGGATTCGGCCCAGACCTCCTTGGTGGTCAGCGACACCGCAGCATCGGCAGTTTGGAGTTGTGGCAGCCACCCTGAATCCGTAATATGGGGAAGCCTAAGTAATTACCACTTCCATGATTCCTGAGTATGATTATACTACGAAGGAGCCCAAAACCCTGTTCCAATTGTTAAGGCCCCTACATTAGTTCTGCTTGTCTGACTCCTTGACGAAACTACACGGCATACGGGCAGTTCTCCAAATGAGGGCCCCTTTTCGGGTCCCCAAAATAGTACGGCAGCCTTATAACAAGGACCCCATTTTTTTAAGACTTACCCATATAGAACCCTTATAGAAACGCTTTGGAAACCCGAATTTGATCCCTTTAAGGAACCCTAAACGGGTTGATTGTAGCCTATGCGATTGTAGCCTATGCAATTCTCCATTTTTGACTCATGGGCCGTGAGCCCAGGATGCCACAACCTTCAACGTCAGCTCAAACTTCGGAACGCTTTGATAAACGCATGCCAGTAGGGTTTAGAGTTTAGGGTTATTTGAAGATTTTGGGTAATTTTAGGGTTTAGAGTTTGATGTTATTTTAGGGCTTAGGATTTAGAGTTTAGGGTTATTTTAGGGTGATTGGGGCTTAGGGTTGTCTTTCTACCAGGAAGAAGATTCAATCCCAGAGGCTGAGCTCAAAACTCTCCTAAACTGAAAAGCTCCGAACCCTCGAACCCTAATCGCAAACTTTACACCCAACATTGAAAATCCTAAACCCTAAGCCCTGAACCCTGAACCCTAAACCCGAGACCCTAAACCCTAAACCCTAAACCCTGATCCCTAAACCCTCAGCCCTAAACCCTAAACCCTGAACCCTAAACCCTAGACCCTAAACGCGAAACATTACACCCCTTAGGTCCTTAGGGTCTGAACCTATAGCTCAGGTCACGTACTTGGCTTCCTCGCTGTCCGAGGATTTCGATGGGCGCGCCGCGATCCAGGTCGGGAATACTGTTAGGTGTCGGGACCCTGCATCCTAAACCGGAGGTTTAGGTTTAAGCTGAGAGGATTTGGGCTTTCAGTTTAGAGTACAAAGTCTTGGGTTTTGGGCATAGGGTAGTTTGAACCCAAAGAACTAACCAAACCTAAATCCTAAACCCATGGAAGCCTCAAACATCCTGAGGACCCGAGGGTTCCTTGTTATAACTAAACAAAAATTATATATATATATATATACATCTATAAATATAAACAGATGAATGAATACATAAATAAAAAATACATATAAATATAAATATATAAATATATAAATATAAATATAAATATATATATATATATGTATGTATATATATATGTATATGTATGTATATGTATATATATATATATAGCCGATCACCCTTCCATGCGCGATTATAGAGGTATAGTTATTGAGGCCCGGATACGCCGGATGGCAGGGCTTCGATTTCTCGAATTCCCAGTGTTTTTTTATTCGGTCTTAGGTTGCTGAGGAAAGTAGCTGATATCAGAAAGGGAAGCATTATTTCCTAGGTCGTTGGGGGTCCTAGAAGATGTCTTGGCGGGGGTTCTGGGTTTTGGGGTTTCTAATGCAGCAAAATGTCGTATTAAATTTTGGGTTTCATAAAATACTCTCTTCTATAGTATGCACTAGAATAGAATATTTTTCTGCGAAGAGACCTCGAAGCCTAGCACATTTTTGGGCATCGTATCATGAGCTATGTTGTACTACACAAGTCTGACATACTTGGGTAGCGTTTGGCTACCAAGTACAGACCGAAACTCATAAACCGGCGTGTTTGGCTCAAGGGCCTCAACAAGGTTCAAGCCTCTCGAATTCAGCTCTAGTTTTGAGTAATTGAGTCTCAGATCCTTCAAGCCATACAAAATGCGGGTGTCCCCCGCCATCTGCATAGACAGCTACGGAACTCAGTGCCTGAGAGCGAGAAAAGGTTGCCGAGTTTGCCTGAAAGGGAGACGAGTGTCAATACCATAAGTGGGCGATCACAACATCTATATTGTATGTACGCTAAAGCTCGAAGCCCAAACCCCTTTTGCCCAAATCCAAGTATCCTACACACTGAATCCACAAAACCCTGAAGCCTAAACCCTCGACCCTCCGAGTGCCCAGATATATAGAACAAATCCTCATACAACCCTCTGAAAGGAACTGTTAAAGGAACCCTCGACCCCAAGTAGAACCCTGATAGAAGCCCCCTTAAAAGAGCTTCTAAAGTAACAGTAGACCCGCCGCCCATCGGCACCAGGCCATGCGCAACGGCCGTAGCCAAGCGTGCGCCTGAAGTTTGCTTATAGAAGCCCGGGGCTGGTTCGACGAGTTTTTCGGGGTTTCGATAAGTTCAGGATCAAAACCCCGAAACCCGTAAACCCCTAAAGCCCTAAAGCCCTAAAGCCCTAAACCCCTAAACCGCTAAACCCCCAAACCCCTCAACACCTGAAGCCCGAAACCCCTGAACCCTAGACCCTACACCCAGGATGCTGGTTGGTGAGGACTGTTGACTTTTCTTTGGGTTGGCGGCTTCAGTTCTGCAGGGCGGTTTAGGTACCGTTTGAGGTTTAGGGTTTAGGGTTTTAGGTTTAGGGTTTGGGGTTTAGGGTTTAGGGTTTGAGGTTTTGGGTTTGAGGTTTAGGGTTCAGGGTTTTAGGTTTAGGGTTTAGGGTTTAGGGTTAAAGGCTTTAGGTTTTAGGTTTATTGTTTGGGGTTTAGGGTTTAAAGTTTGAGGTTTGGAATTTATTTTACACCGGAAACCCTAGACCCCTAGAGCACAGGACCCTGAACGGGTTCACGTTGGGTTTAGGTTTGGAGTTAAGATATTCGCGTGTTGGCTTTGTCATCGTCGGGCTTCTAACTAAACCCTTAGTTTGAGTCTCAATGGTTTAAGAGTTGAGGGTCCTTAGCCGTTCGATTAAGGTTTTGAGATATACTAAACTTTGCTATAGCTCTCAGAGGGAGCACGAAGGAAGACGATTAGTAATTGCTGGGGCCCCTACATTAAACGGACCTAAACCCTAAATCCTTAACCCTAAAACCTTTAGGACCACAGATTTAAAGCATTAAACGCGCAGAATCCCGAAAGCTCCTAATTCCGGAGACCCCAAACCCTGAACCCATGACTCCTAAGCCTTCAAAAAAAACTCCTAGAAACCTAGAGTCGGAAAACCTGAGGAAGCTGGACTCCCGCGAAACAGATTCCTGTAGAGTTCGGTAAAGACGGCTCCTACATAATATAGGGGCCTTAACAAATGAGAATAGGGTTTGGGGTATCTTAGTTTTTAGACTATAATTATAGTAAGGAACCCCGAACACCCTATTCTAATTATTGAGGCCCCTACATTAGGCTGAAGGCACTAAGGCCTGAACCCTAAGCTTCATTTGAGGAGGCAAGGATCCTGTTGTGCTCAGCGGGAGAGGCCACTGCACTTAAAAAGCAAGAAGGGGCAATCCAAGTACTGGACCACCGGTTAAGGATCCGCCGTTGTCCTTTTGGACACCCCTAGATTTGAGCCTCCACGGTCACGGACTGTGACTCCGCATGACGCAAATAAAGAAGGCCCTTGCCCTGAAGACCCATGCATGTACGGGTGGCTCGAAGCACCCGGAGCCAAGACAGCTTTGAAAAGGATGCCCTCTAAGCTCTCTTGGAATCAAGCTGTGTGAAATGCCCCAAGAAAAGGAGCAAAGGTTTTCGGACCTGCTGCAGGGTCTAGTGGCACAGGTCAGATGGCATGAGAAGGTGCAGGTGAAACTGCACTCCTCCCCACGCAAGGTGGAGGCGAGTTTTACCATGTTTGCATCATGCCAAGACGAGTGCATCAAAGCCTCTCTGCTTCTCGAGGCGAGGGGCCAGGTTTGGGCTTTCAAGTTCCTTTGCTTTGTGGCATGCGCCCCCAAGCCCTCAACCCTGCACCCCAAAACCCCAAACCTTGAACCCTAAGCCCTCGGAAAGCTAACCCTTAGAAAACTGGAGTTATGCAAGACTTTCATCGAACCTTAAAGCCCTTAGGCCCCAACTCCCTAAATCTCTAAAGCCTAAACCAAAAAGGCCTCAAGTAGCCATACACCCCAAACCCTAAACCCAAGCTCTCACTGAAGGCATGGCCCCGAGTGCGATACACCCTCGGAGCCAAGCCGGTGGATCTGTGCTCCCTGAGGCTTGTGGGTTTGAGCGTTTAGGGTTTTGAGGTTTAGGGTTTTGGGGTTTTGGGTTTTGGGTTTCGGGGTTTAGAGCTTTAGGGTT